CATGATGTCCTTCCCCAGGGACTGGTCCCTCTTGGTAACATGTCCAAAGTACGTGAGATGAAGTCTTGCCATCCTTGTTTCTAAGGAGCATTCTGGCTGTATTTCTTCCAAGACAAATTTGTTCGTTCATCTGGCAGTCCATGATATATTCAATATTCCTTGCCAACACCCTCATTCAAAGATGTCAATTCTTTTTTGGTCTTCCTTATTCATTGTCCCACTTTTGCATGCATATGAGGTGATTCAAAACACCATGGCTTGGGTCAGGTGCACCTTAGCCCTCAAAGTGCAATAGTCATAGGATAATACTCTTCCAAAAAGGCAGATATGATATGAGAAATTGAATGGTCTCAAAGAATGGAGATATATAAAAAAATACAATACAAAGCAGAGGTTAGATATGAGTTTAGGTCTGAGTCAGTTCCTGAAGCGGTATCGGTTGATAAAAAGGGGATATGTTATTGAGAAATAACTCTGTTGGGAGGTTGAGGCATTGGGAAGAAAATTGAACTCAATAACCAGGTTGTGGAGTGTTCAGTGATGGAGAAGACATGATTCTCACTCTCCTACGGTGAAGGAAACACACGTACACACAACAGCTTGATGAAGCTGACTGGGAATATTGACTAAGTCACAGGGAAAGGGTAGTTTAGAAAAATTTTAAGAAAAATACAATTTACTTATTAAAGGTGAAAATTATTAAAAGTGCCTGACATTTCTAATGTTAAGGCTGATTTTATTGGCTCTTAGAAACCGTAAGGGTTATTATTCCCCCAATCAGAAGCATGCCTCGTTTTGTACGTGTTGATAAGTTTCTCTTTACCGCTTTTCCTAAATTTTGAGACATACTATAGAATTGTACTTAAGACTCTAGAATGTGATTTCTTAAGATATTTATATATATATTTTTTATTAAGTGAATATTGCTTTTTGAAATGTGCCTTGCACCAAAGAATATTGTAAAATCAAAAGATGTAGAGCCAAAAGAATACCAATATAACATATGGTCAATTTAAAGGCTTCTCAGCAACAGACTGTCAAAACGTCAAATACTACTCCTAGACAAACACGTACTGTATTTCTAAAGTTATTATGATATTGAAAGATTCACTTTAGATTTTCTTGCTATGTTATACTCAGTGATCACTGATGCTAATGTGGAACATTTCCTGCTAGTTATTCAGTGATTTTAAAAAAAAGCAATTTTTTCCAGAGCCTGGGCAGGAGATAAGATGTCAAGAAGGAAAGTGGTGAAATGAAAGAGCAGAATGCAAAGAAACAAAAAAGAGAAAATACTAAAGTGATGTTATTTTTTTCCCGTGTATGCAAATGGACAGGAAAATCATAGCAATAACTGAAGACTCTTTTTCACCAAAGACAGAATGGCCTTGGGGAATTAGAGTATGGAAGAAAAAGTCCCATGAAACTGCATTCCCATTCAGGCCCCACCTGACTTCCTGGATATGGCTTTGGCCAAGGTCATCTACCCTTTTTCTGTGCCTCAGTTTCCTTAAATGTTGAAATAGATGATTTGCCTCTTTGAGCTCCTGGAGAGATTAATGAGGTAATACTTCTGAGGCACCCAGAGCTGGTGGAAGCTGCTAGAAGAATACCAAGTAGTACTATTATTATTGAACTGTGTATCCTGTTGGAACGAGTCATCTCGCTGCAAAGATGCAAAAGCAATTCCAAGTGTGGGTGAGGACCAGAGGCAAGTACTCTTAGGTGGTGTTAAGAGAGATCTCAATTGCACTGCAAGTTGCCCTTCTCTTGTTCAAAGAACCAACCGGGTAGGGAGTGGGTGAGGGGGTGCAAGGTGGGGAGTTTAAGGATAGCAAGGTGGTAACGCAAAAAGAAATTTTGAAATTCTAGATCCAAAAGTTGAACCCGGGCTTTGTCACTTACTAAAATGACCTTGACCAAGTTATTCTGCCTCTTTAAACTTCATTTTTCCCATATGTACAATGGGGATTAGAATAGTATTTTAGGGTTGTCTTGAAGATTTTAAAAGGTACACGGTTGTAAGGACTCCGTAAAACAAGCTATTAGGGTAATTTATGGGAAATAGGGAAAAGTAGAAATCCATGTCGGTAATAAGTGAATCTTTAAAGGATGTAAGAGAAAAAGGCAGGTTTTTATTTTGTAAAACACTGTATGATTTAAAGGGCCTACGAGGAGGAAAACTTATTTTGTCAGGGGTGAATCCACTCATATTTCATGGGTCCACGGCAACTACTCAAACCTTTCATACCTGGCACACAAAACAAACAGGAAAGCTTTCGGTGTGCTTTAATAAAAACGGCTTTCTATTTTAAAGCTACATATATATTTTGAAAAATCTCTTGGACGTCGAACAGCTCTTACACAACAAAGCTCAGATAATGTGTTTTTGTTGTTTTAAAGAGAAAGACATCAGGGGCGCGGGGATTACGCTTCCTTGGAATCACGCTCTCGGCTGGGAAGCCTTCGGTCAAATCCCTGGGGGCAGCAGGCGTTTTCTTTTCTTTTTTTTTATCGATCCCGGAACCTTCGCTCGGGCGAGCGGGCGGGAGCGCGGGAGGGGCTCGAGGGAGGGGTCTGGCTGCAGGGCGCGGCCCCGGCTCGCCCATCCCCCTAGCGCGCGGCGGGGCGG